TTAACTGAAATGTTCAGCAGTATATCTGACTATCACTAAGCTATTTTGTATGTTGCTATTTATGTAAACCTTAAAAATACCACTGTTTAAAGAACATATAAAAAAGTTTAATTAACTTTGAATAAAACAAATTGGCACATAGAGACTCTGGTAAGAAAAAGGACAAGTGGTGAAGAGATGAAATACTTAAAAAATGCTAAAACATAAACATACTCTTAAAAAAACAAATACTGGAACAGCTGATATTCCAAACTTCTCAGACACTTCTGGTGCTGATTCTGCCTCCAACTGGAATAATAATTTTCAATATAATTTCTAAAATTAATTTGAAAAAAATAATTAAATAAAAACTTTGTATAATGTAGATTGAAATGCAAGTTTCATTTATTAAGATAGATTTACAGGGTTTCTATTAGCTTTTCATACAGTCAAAAATTGAAACCATGAAGTCATTTCTAAGCCATAGACATTAGTGTAATTGCACTTACTTCAATTACATTTCATTTACAAGTTCTATTTACCTTTACAAATCTGACATTTATAAACCTGGTATCCTTTGTTAATTCATCCAGGACATCATTCATCTGTTTGCACTGTGGGGCCCAGTCAGCACTAAAGTGGACCACAACCAGACTGCTGAAATGACATAAACACATTGTTTACCAACTTCAACTACATGTACATATGCATTATTGAATAGATCTTACATTAGTACAGTGCAATGCAATTATCCTGTTCGAGTTTTTACAACCATAAACGTGTTTTATTTCACTGTAATGGAAATTATGTTTTCATTAATCATGACAAAATGCAATACAAAATGCAAATCAAAATGCAAATGAATGCTAAATGCACAACTTCATCCATGTTTATTATTTAGCTTTTGGGTAAGTACATAAGATGTCATTAAATTGCAAATTTTAGAAGATTAACTGGCAAGGTTATATTCAGGAATTGACAAACTTGCAACTAAATTTCTTCCGCAAGTATCAACCTTTCTTTACATGAGGACGGCGATAATTTCTCTACCAGTGTGTCCTTGCACTGTTACTCCACCACATCATTATTCCCTCTAACATTATTACATTACTTGGCATCCTTCCCCTCCCTCCCCTCCCCTAATAAGAAATCTTATAACTTTCAAGTCCTGATATTAACAATTAACTTTTAATTCATGTTTTACGTATTGCATTTTAAGGAGTATTTGCATTTGTGAAGAGTAACACTGTAGGGGAGTAGTGGTGTGGGGGAGTACTACCGTGTACATGTAGTAAATGGGGCCGTGGCAATAGTCCGAAGGTTCAGTAGTCTGAAGGTTCATTGGTCCAAATGTTAACTAAAAAACCTTCAGCCCAACGAACACTTGATTGAAAACCAGTGAAACTGTTACAATTTCAGACCAATGAACCTTTATACTCAAGGGAAAAATATATGCGTTCACCTCTACTATTTGTAATTTTCTTTACATAACGAATTGCCCTTTTTTATCAAAACATGGCCCGATTCTCAAAACACAATACTAAGAAGCTGCTACATAAATTTTCATATTGGTAAAAACTGTTGTACAGCGGAAGTTTATGCTTGCTCAGCAGTTATGTAGTACAAATATGCGTGACACTGACGGGGGGGGGGGGGGGGGGGGGGCGCTGGGCAGGTCGCTGTTTTCATTGACGTCAATCTGGATTTTCTACCATAAAAAACACTTACAAATAATCATAACAACCTGAAAGATAAAGCAAGCACGTAGCCAAACATGGAGGCATCAGACACTTACTTTCCAGTCGTATCAATGAATTTTTCGAAATCTTCTGAAGACGTGATGTCAACACTGGAGGCTGCCATATTGGGTGGAAAATAAAAGAAGGATTTATCTAAAGGAACGAGCGGTAATTTTTTTTAACAACTCGCGAAAATAAAATCCAAAGAGCATTTATATAATTGGTCCACGTGAATAAACTCTGAATACCAATACATGATGAGAACCCATATTCTTTCAAAAGGAACCCAGATGGCTTTAAATAATGTATGTGCATTGCAAATGTAATTTTGCACTTGGTTTATGGATAAAAAGAAGATAATTATTGTCTACATCACTCATTCCTTGTCTACATCAGAAACAGCAACATACACTTAAAATGTGCAAGGGTATGGTTGTGTTTGGGGGTAGTAGGTACTGCACATAGGTTCAGCCTTCTGGTACATTTGATTATTGTTATGTATACAGACTCAGAGAATACCTGTAGCATTTGCTAACTGCTATCATTAGGTTTGTTGCATCCACAGCTGGATTGCAAAAAGTCAAAATTTCTTTGATTACATATCCAACAAATCTATTTATTTTTCCCAATTCAGACCTTAAAACAATAAAACCCCTCAAGCTAAATTAAAAATGGTACAAAGCATTACATTGTAGATCCAAGTGCTGGGAAAGATCAAGCAATGATTCTTGAGTAGAAAATACTTTTTCAGGAAAAATCCTAGGGAAGTATGCTGTTTTCAATCCCTTGCATGTGTGTTCTAATTGGATATGTGGAATATTAATTTGATTTTTTTTACATTTTTAAACATTACATCAACATGAAAAATAAATTAAAGCATTTATTCTCCCAAGGTGGAATATACACTGTATAAATATAAAATCATTTGTAGTGTAAGTTCTTCAATTTTTTTGATGTAAATGAAATTGTATGTGTGGTCACTTTTTAGGTTTCTCTTCACATACTGCTGTATTATCTTTAAACATTCAACACCAGGAAGTTAAACAATAAAACCATGAAGAAAATTATTGGACTTTGTCCATGATGAGACTTAAATGTATTTTACTGCATTATCTTCTCTCAAATTGCCCCCCAAAATCTACATTATTCCTTTATATAATAATATAAAAAACTCTCATTTTACTTTTCAAATAATCACAAACTGAATTACAGGTGAGACCTCCAGTAAACTGTTTGACTGTCCAATATTTTAATTTTATCAAACATACCCTGAGTGTCAGAGCAACGTAAAAGCTAGCTTGCTAAATATACCTCGTGGTGGAATCGCTCTGGTATAGAGCGTTCCCAATACGTGACCTAATTATGAGCCGCCGCCATATTGGGGGACACACACACACACACACAAATCCAAGATGGTGGCAGTGCCGGTGGTGAAATATATAAGCGACTGCGAGTAAAAAACACAAATCCACATACTGCAGTATGTTGTCAATATTACTTTGGGTGTTTTATCATTTGTATGAATTTCTTTTTTTGTAAAAAACATGGCTCAGCCAGGCAGTAGTCTATCATTTTATGTATGAAATGGGACTTACATATAGAAAAATTCTCTCAAAAGCTGCATCCAGACTGTATTTCTTATGCATGGTCAAACACGCTGGGGTGCCGAGATATGACCTCTTACAAATTTATAAAAGCAATCTCAGACCAACACTGGAGTACGCTTGTCAGCTATGGCATGCTGGAATTACCGCACAGCAATCTAAAGCCTTGGAGAACATCCAAAAAAGAGCTCTTCATATTATATACCCTAAACTCACAACGAAGCAATGGACATCACTGAATTATCTACCTTGAAATCTCGGCGTACTGACTTGTGCAAAAAATTATTTAATGAGATAAAACTGTGTACACATAGATTAAACCATCTTTTATCTAACACTCGTGTCATAGAAAAGGACCTAAGGAATGTTTAAAGATATGTTTTACCAAAATGTCAGACAAAGAGATATAGAAACACTTTTATCCCATACTGTTTATGTATGTGTCAATGATCAAGGTCTATCCATGAACTTTTAGCTTTTGAAAAGAACAAGGAATCACCATTTTTAACCTCATTATTGTTTTTATAATTTAGAATTTATCTAAAAGCTCTATTTTAATTCTACATCTTTATACTTTTATACATACACATATGTCTTATATATTGCAAAGAACACAATAAACCTTTATTATTATGCCTGACATGATTCACAAAGCAATACAAGGTTCAAATAATACCCACTTTTATTTCTGTTTATAGATGTGATTCTACAAAGTGCTGTTAAATGCAATCAAAATTGAATAACCATAGGAGAATAAAAAAAGCACCTTATAAGTTTTACTTAGAGTACAACTCCAGCATGTTATTACAGTAGATGTTTTTAATGCTTGTATTTCTACAATCTTTGTAAAAGAAAAGTCATGCAGCAGTCTGTTTACTAAATATATTTATACATATATATGTGTCAGTGCAATCTTAATGTGCAATCTAAATGTGCAATATGCATTTGTGATAAAAGTTTCTTGCCATATGATAAATTATCCATTTCAATTGAATGGTACAACAGAATCACAAAGATTTGTCAATGCACAACAAACCTTAACAATTTTGTCAATAACAAGTGTGTCATCACCCTTTACTGGTGTAAAAAAATCGTGAGGCAATTTGCTGATAATATTGAATACTTCTGACGAACAACTCCTATCACTCTCTCAACATGAATTCTACTGTTGGCTATCCTCCTCGTTTGTTCAACATCTAAAGCTCCGAGCTGCGATTTACCCCTGGTAAATGCTGGGATGTATAACCGTGCACACATGCTACCTACACTATCCTGTATGTCAAAACCTCTATCTGCTAAAATTACATCCCCTGGCAAAAGCTTATTCAGCAAACCACAAGTTTCTGTAATTATTTTGTCACTCGCTCTGCCGCCATGCCCATCTGAGATGAAACATATCACTCCCTGAGGTGTAATACCTATCAAATATTTTGCTGTGTTATTGTGTTTATAAGATGACCAAGTTTCATTTCTTGCTTTGAGGTTAGATGGACATTCCATAGGTATTTCAAAGCAATCAATAATCACGGCAACTTTTGTACCAAAATGCTCTCTAAAACTCATTGGCATTGTTTTTTTCAGTTGCTCTCTCTCAGGCCAATGAATGAGAGGTGACAAAAGAACAAACAATACTCCCAAAATGTTTCTAAATATTCGTGAAACAGTACTATCAGAAACACCAAATCTGACGGCCAAATCCTGGTTAGCAAGGTTTAGTCTCAGTTTCATAAGAACAAGGATCAACTGTTGAAATTTATCCAAAACACTCTTGTGATGAAGAATAATATCAGTCTCAATATAATCATACAATGATTTCAGAACTGGGTAATTTGGGAGGCCAGTGTAATATCTTACTTTTTCATCATCATTTTCAAAAAAGTCAATATCAAATTGTTTTGCCTTGCAAGCTTTTTTTAGTTCTGCATTTTCACTTTGAAGTCTCATTATTTCCTCTTCCATGGCTGTATACAGCTTCATGTCGACAGTAGTTTGAGATGCTGTCCCAGTCTCAACATTTGTAGTCATCTCGAAAGTTGCAGCTACTTCTCCAGACTTCTGCAAATCAAGTAATGCAGTTGCTGCCTCGTGTTGTTTCATTTTTGTGGATCTCTGGACTGAGCGACTATATCTTGAGTGGGGAGTTGCTTGCTGATTTTCTGTGTCAGATGGCCTTCCCATTTTCACGGTGGGGGCCCAGTCAGGATTCAGCTTATCATACAGTGCCGCAGGTTTACCTGTAAATCACAAAGCAAATTTTTTTTGTTAACATATCAAGCAAAAACACCGAGTTTGAGCATTTCAAGTGCATGCTACTATAACTTTCAAAACCTGTATTCTTACATGATGTGAACTCTGTCACTAGACTAAAATGATTTAGAAATATAACTTCTCGTAGTTCAAAACATAGCAGCTAGTTCCCTACACCATGTACATGTAGTGACTGGCCAGGGTCTTCCCTTGAATCGATAGCTCAGAAGTTGAGCACTCCACTCCACTCTGGTGTTTCCCCCAAAACGATACAACTAAATTATCCTTTTCCGTGTAATGTAAACTCACCTACGAAATGGTCTGAGCACACACGTATGTGTTCATAGCTTGATTCTTTGATGTCTGATCTGCCGATGTTAGATAACCATTTATCACGTCTTGCTTGCGATAATTCCTTAGTCTGGTCACCTTGGTGTGTTATAACTTTTGGTAGCCTGTAGTATGATCGATCATTTTCTCGATTTCGCCTGTTCGAACAGCCAAAAACAGCACAAAACGACGGCATTTTAATTCAAAGCCCGCAACCGCGCTACCTGCCTACGCGCTTTGTTCCGGACCCCCAACATGGCGGCGGATAGAGATCGTGACGTCATTCAACGACGCTCTATTGCGACATGGGTTACATATGAAATCAAGATCGAGCTGGCAATACCGGAATCTAGAACCTAGGGTAATCAAACATGGCCTTTAATCTTTTCCAAAAATAGCTTGATTTGTTTTCTTTATATGCCACATATAGAACTGAAAGATGATGCTGCATCATTTTTCTTAATATTAATATAAATTGGGATTACGCAGCTCTTTCATTCTTGATGAGTATGCACTTTGTATGCACTTTGTGTCCATACTACACTGTAGTAAAATCTTGTACGGTCTTGGGACAGAAAAAGAAAAATTAATCAATCAAAAATTACAAATTGTTGTCAATGGTTTTTCTTTTTTAAATAATCAAAAACTGAATTATGGGTTAGACCTTCAGTCTACTTCCTCTTGGTCAACTGTTTGACTGTCCAAGATATTTATCAAACATATCCTTTAATCTTTTCCAAAAATAGCTTGATTTGCTTTCTTTATATGCCACACCACATATAGACCTGAGAGATGAAGGTGCATCATTTTTCTTAATGTTAATATAAATTGGGATTACACAGCCCTTTCTTTCTTGATCGTCTAGAGATGTCTGCAAACTTGTATGCACTTTGTGTTCATACCAGTTACAACGTGTACAGTCTTTGGACAGTAAAAGAAAAATTAACTGACTGTTGTCAATTGCTTCTTCCAAATTCTTAATTTCTGATTTACCACCATCTCCATCTCGGTTATCATAATAACCCTTCAACTTCCTCCCAGCAATGTCCACCTTTTCAAAATATTCCAACAAATCTTCTGCTACTGATCTGTCATCATGATGGTGACAAACAAAAAAGTCATATTTATATTTAGGTGCAGAAGTGTGTGCAGCAGCTGACATGCTTCCCACTACCCTGGAGCCTGCATATTCCTGGTAACTTCACTACCACCCTGTAACATGTAGTAAAAAAATCAAATTAATATTCCACATATGCAATTAGTACATACACATGCAAGAAATTGAAAACAGTGTGAACACTTCAATTGACTGATGATAAGCATGGTTACATAGGTGATGACAGATTGACCACAAAATAGTGACATCAAGTGTCCTGAGCAATTTTAAGTTTTGTCAAAATATCTCCAGGAAGTGGATCCTTGATTAAAGCACCTGTTATGGAATCCCTGCAACCCCAAAGCAATACTTGTCAGATGAGATCGCAGACGGAGTGAATACCTGGAGGTAATCTATTGCTACTTCTAACTCTTGTTTTTTCCCGAATTGTGCAGGCCGTGGACAGTAAAACAGTAAAAGGATAATATAAGATAACAACCGTTGATATGGGCTAGTGATAATGTCTAATGATTGGTTTCTTGCTCCACGAGTCCACTAATATTTCATGTGCAGGTTGGACCGTTTGGACGTTGCCAACTAACGCCACACTCTTCAGACCTGTAATTTTAACATCAGATCTGAACATATAAAATCCCCTGATGGTACACTTGGATATTGTTTCCGCCTATAAGACTCGTTGCGAATCAGCCCTGGTGGCTTTGCTGTAGTTTGTACATATAGTTTCGCATATATTTTATATAATCAATCTGAATTGTATGCTACAAAATATATGAAAGCAAATCAAATTTATTTCATGCAGATATTATTGTAAATTTACTAATATTTGATAATTGTCGTATTCCCTTTCTTAGTATATATTTGTTGAAAAACGAACCACATACACTGTAGTCTACTGAAAAGGGGATTCCCCTGCGTGCGAAGGAAAAATCCAAAATCCTGGCGTTATTTACGCGCAAGGAAATCAGTTTCTTGTTAAATGAGTGCCATAATCTTCTAGTTGACGAGGGGATCTACTAAATCACGAAGGTATGTACTATAGTTGACGCTTTAAACTTGTCTGTTACAATCTAGTTCTAACATCAACACGGTGGCTTAGAGAACTGAATCATCGTCACAAGATTGGGAAATTCCAGATTGACGTTCGAACAAATTTGCCAAAAGACTTCAAAATTGCACAGGGTGCGGTAGGTATTATTATCATTTTTGTCAAATACAGAATGAGAAAATTATGTGTAAATTTCAAATGGAAGACCGACGTTGGTAAAGGGTTGTTGCCAGTTAAGTTTACATGTAAATAATGCAATCTGACAAAGTTGCATGGAAGATTGAGGGTCTCAGTCTTAACATGCACCTTGATACTCAGTAGTTCAAATCACACGAAAATTCATCTGGTTTCCTTAGATTAATTATTTTGTTTGCACTAGAAAAAAATCCCGAAAATCAGCACTGTATATACATCAAAACAAAAATAATACATACTGTCCAAAGTGATGATATATTCACAACACTATCAGTGACAAAGTGAGTAACATACTTGTGATGAAAAGTGAGAAAAAAATTCATGAGCCCAAACCAGAGTTATTTTGGTTTGCTGAACATCATTTCACAAGTAGCCATTACAATATCTGTTGTCTTACATGTAGCACATGCTACTAGTACATGTATTGCAGGAACCAAAAAACATGTCCCGGGACGGGTTTGAACCCTCGTCGTCCCACTCCGGAGGCGGACACTCTAACCACATCCGGGCCATTTTCTATTGAAAGACAGTCAAAAATTTTTAAGATTTTGCTGACCATCTTCTTATTTTATCTTTGAAAGTCTTCTGTATGTTTCTTATTGACTTTGGTAACAAAAGATGGCATGACACTTATGGTCACATTTGACTACAAAGGTTACTTTATTTTCAATAAATATGCATATTGATAAGTCGAAACGTTATATATATAACAAGCGTTCTTCAGATAAAAGTCCACTTTTAGAGTGCTCAACAATTTCAGGAGCGTAATATAACAATTAACAGCTAAAATACCATTTTCAAATAAAAACCTCCTGACGATAGGACATACCTTCTTGGTATCCCCTGTGAAACTCAGAGTTGGGGTTTATACATGTCACTTGTTTTTTGATAGATAGATAGATAGATAGATAGATAGATAGGTGTGAACGCGTGCAGGTGTGTGTGGGGGGAGGAGGCAGTGGAGGATGGGCCAACAAAGATAATTTGGCAGACTCAAAAATATCCCTGGATCCACACCTGAATAACATAGGTCAAAATAGGTGAATTGTTTCAAAGTGAACACAGATTGTCATAAAAATATACTCACTCTTTGATTCTCCTTTACTAATATGTTTTTTTAGGTTGTACATTTAAGTGTTTTTTATATTGTGCCCTGTTTTAATTTTTCTCATTACAATAGTCAAATGTTATTTTCTTTAATTTAACTGGGTAGACTTGTAGCAATAATGGGTACTTATACAAAGAGTGAGTGCATTTTTGAGAAACCCTGTATTATATTATATTTGATATGTTAGGTAAATGTTATAAGGACAGTTCTAGACAGTAGCCATCACTTGCTTCTGTGTTAATCATATTGGCTTTCTTTTAACTAAAAAATTCAGTATTTTGGTATGCTGAACATGAGACTATTGGCACATGTACAATTATTGCAAGGTGAAATGAAATATTGAACCTCACAAGTGTTCAGCTAGTTAATCAGGGAAGTAAAGGTAATATGTATATTTCAAGCTGCTTTTACTTTCATAAATTGTATGTACTATACATGTAGATGAAAATTTTCTATTCTGGGTTTTTACCAAACTCATCACAATGCAAAAAATAAATAATAATAATATATAATAATAATTATTATTTAAGAAAATAAAAACAAAGCACAGTTCTCCATTTCTCCCTCCATTCACTCCTGTTCTGAGCGCCAGGATAGTTTGTGAAAAATGGCACTAGTTGCTGGGTGCCAGAATCACTTTTGAATATGACAAGAATGATAATTATGCTATATTGTGTCCCTAGCTAACAGTACCAATCGTTATCTAGCACCTTGGACCATACACTGGTGGGTTGAAATTACACGTACATCCAATGGGTAGCAGTTACTGACACTTACCTTTTATACAATATGGTAACTGACACAGATTTTGTTGGGAAAAGATAACATAGGGCCTAGCAACAAACAGACAACTTCCTGTCAGAAATAACAGAATTTCATAAAATTCCAAACATCTGGAATTTCTGAGCACCTTCCATTTCATAAATTTCGACACCAAAACAATAATATCCTTATTAGGATTCCCCATAGGGGAATACTATTGTTTTTGGTAGTATTATTATTATAGTTATTCTTTCCGCGCGTTTTTTTTCGCAAAAAATCTGAAATAATTATCATAGGTAGCCTATGGCAAGAATATGCCACAGAACCAGTTTCAGTGCCCTTGACCTACTTTTCAAGGTCACAGGGGCTTTTAAAGGCAAATTTTGTAAAATTTGAAATTGCCATTATGCCTAAAGTATAAGCCATATGGCTAAGGGCCTTATGGCCAGTGATACTGAGGTGAATCCACAGATAATGACCTACTTTTATGCAATAAGGTCAAGGTCAAGGTCGCTAATGGCCAAACGGGCTCAAAAAAGGTTTGTTTCCGAGATCTCAAAAACCAAAAGGCCCAGAGCCCCAATCATAGTGGCAAATGATGCCCTATATATTTATCTAAGGTTAGCCGTACTTTGGTAGCGACTGCCTAATTACTTTTTTAAATATCGATTTTTAAAAATTTATCACATTGCAGAAATCTTGAGTTTGGCAATTTCTCTAAGAAACACTGGTTTTTGGTCATAGCATGCTATAGTAAACTACCCCAAACATATACCCAAAACCCCCAAATCTAATGTCAAATTTGACCTTGACCCTCATTTTCAAGGTCATTTGGCTATTTCATGGAGAAATATTGAAATACTGAAGTGGGCTAAAAGTGATGCTTTGTTGCCCCCCCCCCCCCCCCCCCCTTATTCGCACATGCTTTTTCAGAATATGGGATCAAATTTAACCCATGACCTTCACATTACCTTGTAAGAGCATTTCCACACCTATTTTGCAGGGGAATCCTCCGCCACTGGCTTTAGCCAGTTGCAGTCTAGTTTGAATTAGTTTCTTCTGTATGAAATTCATGGTACATTACCATAATAATACCGTAATCTAATGTAAAGAGAACTGGATTTGCTTTAGATTGTTTTAAAGAATACTTGAAGTAGATTGAATATATTTCATTTTCATTTTAGTGGTTTGTACATGTACTGTATATAGTATAATATGATATGTTAAATAAAATGCTACAGTATTTGTCATCCTTAACCATTCCTTTATGACCTCCATCAAGTACCTGTAGGTTATGGTTTTGGTTCTGTTAGTCTGTTAGCAACATTATGCATGAAGTACTAGTAGTCGGCCAGTTTTATAGAAATGTTCAGAATAGATCAGAAATGCGTTAACTTTTTTGGTGATGATCCATTAAGAAATTAGGATTAGCTAATAACTCAGTAAAACAGCTTTTGTTTTTTCTTTTTCTTTTATGCTCCAAAGGTGCCTTAACTTTTATAGTCATTTTTTTGTAATTATAGGAAAGATGTCTACTGTGAGGTGTACCCTTCCCATGCAGGCAGGCATTTGTGATAGTGGAGAGAAGGAGGAAGATGAGGATAAAAGCAGTGGTTTGTGGACAATACCTTTTTCAGTGATAAATAATAGAAAATGCGCAAGTGTTAAGATCTAATTTTCATTTGTTATTACATGTGTGAGTGTGTTTCATTGTAAGTATACTGCAAAAAAAATGTTTGAAGGAATCTAACTGTTTGATAGTTTACACATTTTGGTTTTAACAAAAAGCCATTGCCTGCCTCTGCGCCCCCCC